TTTAGTTGTCTCGAGAGCAACAAGACAATCAACAAGGCCCAAGGAAATGTGAGAATTATTTTTTGGGCAATTCTAGTCGTGCTTCAATTCAATTATTTCAATAATACCTTACTTTTCATGTTTCAGTATGTATTAATTTTTCAATTAAAAATCCTCTTACATTCCCTAAACCATTCATATACCCAATAATTAACAATTAATTCCTTTAAAACCCCATAATATTGTTTTTCAATGTGTATTAATTTTCCAATTAAAAATCCTCTCACACTCCCTAAACCATTTATATACCCAATAATTAACAATTAGAGCTTTTTTGGTAGAGATTAAAATCAGATTAAAATTAAAAAATTAGCCGTTATTGTTGACTTTTATTAGACGAGTAAGACCCAATAACGACTATATTTTCAATTTTAATTGGATTAAAATTCCTTCCAAACAAGCTCTTAATTCATTTAAATACTATCCACCCCTATTCTTAGCCTTTGCCTTGCACTAGCAAATATGCACCGGCGAACCCACATGGGGTCATGTGGGGTCAAATGACCCCCGCAAATTTTTTTTTTTGACCTAAACATTTTTGAATTCTCATTTTTGACCCCACGAGAAAAATGGTCTCGATCCGCCCCTACAAATATGTACTTATGTTATTAGTGGGTTTGGAGAATAAATTTATCAAAAGAGATTAATTCTCCAAAGTTCATGTACACTTGTTTACTTTCAAAATTATTCTTTAATTTATGATACAAATTATTCTTCAAGTTCACGTACACGCCCTTTTGTATAGATTAATTTTCAAGATCACATGTAAACTATTATTTTTTCTATATTCATTAATTCAAAATAATTAAATTCTACGTTCATGAATGAATTTGATTGTTTTCATGAGTATTCGACGTAAATTAATTAATCTTTCAACTATTAAACACTTTTCACGAATAATTTAGACATTTTACTCATTTACTTCTTTGGAATTTATTTGACGGGCTTTTTCTTCAGAAGATTTTTTAGTGAATAGTTTTAAATTCAATTTTTTTAGGTGGGCAATAATTGGGTTGTATGAACCATAGATTTAGCAGATTCTGAAAGAGTTCAAGGACTTCAAAAGGATCCTTCTTCGAACAGAGTACTAAACAACAAGCAAAAAAAAAACAAAAAAATTGTGTGATGTTCTGCTTGATATTCAAAACTTATATATTGGAAAATCGATAGGGATATTAATACAACTATCAACATCATTTGTCGAAAGCTTTTATTTTTTCTATATTGTAAAACTAGGTGTAATCTATGAGATTCAAAATTTCACTATAATCACATGATTTGTACGAGATTTTTCACATTATGATATTACTCGATGTATTTTAAATGTCACTCGAACAACCACTAATATCTATGGCAGAAGAAGCATTTTTCAAATTATGTAGAGGTACATAATATTTTCTTGTGGCTAGATTACATATACATTGTATTTTTTGGACGATTATATTCTTACTGTAATTCAATTATTCCAATAATATCTTGTTTTTCGTTGTTTAACATTTATTTAATTTAATTAATCATTTGAAAAATATTATCATGAATTATTTTGTCAACTATTTAATTATTATCGGTATGTATTTGATGGATTCATTCCACTTGATTGAATAATAAATTAAATACATTAATTTTTTTTTAGAACAAAAGATGATATTTTGAGAGTTTTATTCAAATTAATTTATTCAATGAATGTTAAGATGTAAATAAAATACATTGATTTTTTTGACGGATTCATTTCACTTGATTGGATAGTAAATTAAATCCATTATAAAAATTTGGAACAAAAGATGTCTTTTGAGAGCTATGTTCTAATTGATTTATTCAAAAAAATGTTAAGATCTTGAGAGGTAAATAGCGGACATAATGCGTATTTATAATAAAATAATTCCAATTGATATATTTAATACTTATTGAGTGAAGATGAAGAAATGACATTATTAGTTGGATGTTAAATTCAAATCAAATTAGTAAATGGAGTGACTATTCCAATTGACTTCCTTAACTATTAAATTGAATCACAAACAATACCTCATGCCGGAATATATCTTCAACAACATATATTCTCACATGAACAACTACGAACGTTTTAGTCAAGTCAGATATCCTAATCACACAACAGTATTGTATGCAGGGAGATTTCGCATTCAATAAAAAGTTCATTACACAAAACAATTTGTATTAACTATTTTTATATTCACACATCTTCAAATATTACTTTTATGAATTAAATTACTTGTAAATTCTTTGTGTACATTAAGTTTGAGATTCCAAAATGTGTCAAAACATGTGCCACCGATTGTTTAAATTGTTGTTAAAATCAATGTATAAAAAATTGTCACTTTACAATAATGACAAATTTGAAATACATGTAACAAAATTGTCCTTTTATAGCACTTAAGTAAGAAGGTTTTAGGTTCCCAATTGATATTAATTTTATTTAATTAACAATCCTATAAAGACATGAACGTAAAACTCACACACATCACAAGGC